TAGATAGATAGATAGATAGATAGATAGATAGATAGATAGATAGATAGGTAGATAGATAGATAGACAGATAGATAGGTAGATAGATATATAGATAGATCGATCGATCGATCGATGGATGGATGGATGGATGGATGGATGGATGGATAGATATATAATGTACAGTACTGTATTTGTTTAACAGAAACAAAGCACATTTATTTAAGGTTCTGCACGGTCCTCTGATATCTTGAGAATCTATATTCTAACAATGTTACAAGTCGGCCAACCAAAGTCGAATTTGTTTGAGGGTGTCAGAAACGTGGCTCTTGTTCCTTGTGGCAGCATTAGAAAAGCATGGGTCTATCTTCAAGAGTCTGAGACAGTTTTCAGGAAAACCTGCATTTGGCCGGTCAAGAATTGTGCTCTTATATATCCATCTTTACTGATGTCATTGTTTCTTCTGTCAGGTTGACTATAGTCTATCTGCTTGCTTCTTTTGAGATAACTCCTGGCACCCCACTGACCCTCCAAAAGGGGTGAAACCTCTGGGGCCGAGAAAAGGACCTATGCCTACTGGCCCCCTTTGCCGCCGAAGTGTCGTTGGCGGGCTCCATGATCTGGATGCCACCTGGTCTGAAAGAAAGCACGGTCTGAGTAAGGGCGTGATGATGATGTCATGATCTTTGTAGGACTTGGAAGCCTGGAACAGCTAAACTCACTCTCCAGCAATATGTGGTGTTCTTTGTTGTAGTTTTTGTTTAAGAGTGTCAACTCCGTTCAAGAATGAACATTTACTGGCCAAAGACGTCCCCCAAACCAAAGAAAAATAACATTGCTTTGTGATCAACAGCCCTATATATGATGATGCACTGTAAATAACATTACAAATTATTGTATAATCTGAAGATATCTGAGGTCCAGCTTGCACATGGATAACATAGTGTGAGAACAGTCCATTTCTCTATCATCATAGAGTGGTCCAATCAAAGCAAATCCTGGCATTCATGTCAACGTTTCGCCATCCCAAATCAGGGAATCAAAGATCCTACATACTACATGGCACATATTGACATATACAACCACATCCCAACAGGCTAAGTTTGGCCAACATTTCTTATGCAAGTAAAGTATATAATAGGTACACAGCAAAAAACAAATAGAAGAACTCTCGTCTTAGCCAAACTTCCTTGTCCCAAGCTGACACCGCCGCCGTCGCACCTGCCATGCCGATGTCTCCTTCATTGAACTCCAGACGCTCGTCAAAGCGTAAGCTGGTGAGGAAGCGTTTCCAGCCTGAGCTGCTCGTGCCCGGCAGGAAGGCAAGTGCTGCGGAAGCAGGCAGACTCTCTCATCACCCATCCTCCAGTATCTCGTAGAAAGGCCCTAGTTTCATGATGTACCAGATACACATGATTATATGTTTATCTATTTGAACAAAAAATATGTCGCATACATCATCACACATCTATATATATAATGATAGGAATAATATAATAAACATGATATATATATATATATATACTGTTTGGACCTGCATCACATGACGGGCATGTCCCTGAGCATCAACGTGTCGAGAAGTTTCAGCTCACTCAACAGCTGGTCCATCTATTTATGCATGTATATACTTCCAGCAACGAGGGCCTATACATAAAACGAATTGGAATATCATTCTGCAGCAACGCTGTTCACCTGGAAGATTCAAGGATATATAATATTCAACCCCCATTTAGGGACCATTCAGGGCAAATGGGCAGAAGGGTGTATCACATTTGCTCACTGGGGAACCAATGGCATTCCAGTATCTGCTGTAGGAGATATCCTGATCCCCCGATCGATCATTTTGGGGTCCGTGGTTTTCTATTTTTAGTCTTGTAAAGAGTAGGCGTTCCTTTGAAGGTTGCTTGAACACCCGGACCTAAATAATCGATCCAGGATGATCCAAGTCTTGCATCGCACCTGTCCGAAGTGCTGTGCTTCCGTCAAGTCTTGCAGGGAATGCAAGATATTCTTCTTGGCGAGTGATTGTGGCCATCCCTCCAGTGATGCTTTTCCAAATCTAAGTGCGAGGTTGTGCAATTTGAAACCGACAGGTCGCTACCAGGTCATTCAGCTGAGTCCCCCCAACGCTTGGGGCTGACTTCCAGCAGTGTGGCCCTCAGAATGGTGCTCTGCGCGGTGACGCCACCGGATTGGTGTACCCCATTCTTCCGCTCGTTCCGACAAGGGAACCTAGATTGATAATCCCTTCAAAAACAGAAATCACAGGAAGGAGCGCTTTGCTGGCACTGAAAAACCATGAAACACATGCATGCTATTACATTGCATGATCAACAATAGACCGTAAACACAAGTATAGACACAAGTTGTAAATAGTTAAATAGTGCTGTTGTTTTTTGTGTGTTGCACGGTCTACAACAAGTAGAACAATATTCCTCCACCTGTGAGGAATGAGAGAATACGGATGAGTTGCCTCGCAAACCATTCCTCTCACCTTGGATGGCCTTTTTCACAAACTTCATATTCAGCAGCGGATGTTTGATAGCGTAGTGAAGGATATACTTGCTTCACTTAGTTTCGATCTGGCTGTGGGTTCCAAACCCAGGGGCCATGGGGACCATGACCGTCAGGCTGGGCGGACGTTTCTATAAACTACCATGCAAACTTGAGCTCCAGGTTACCTAGCAACCTACAGTAATTAAATATGTTTGGACCCATTGCCTTCGATGCGCAGCTTCCCAATGTTTTGAGTTTCTGGCACAATGACAGACGCCCTGTTTAGACCTGAGCGCGGAGGGATGTGGTCGACAAAGGAGCGTTTTTGCCCGTGGCTTCTTCTTCGCAAGTGGCGAAGAAGTGATACCGTGCACACCCTCCGAGACCAAGATCTGAGATCGAGCCCCCCTGGAAAGATTGAGGGAAAACTGCGGGAGAGGGAGCTACATCATCAATAAAAAAACTGACCAATGGGGTGATCAGCTTTGGGAGAAAGACATTGGCAGCCCATGGACATACATCCTTATACTGACCAGTCCTTCCTCACACTTATGTGGATATTATGTATTATAATTACAATACTATATATATGCACAGTATACTTATGAATATATATATATAATATGTCTGTAACATAGTAAACATATTGACTAATAGTGTATACACATCTAAATAATGCTGTAGATGTCACATCATGTCGACATGACTCAGTCCACGACTCAATCGTCGAAAACGTCTCTTCCAGCGGAAGCATGGATCACTCGCTCGGGTGAAAGGAGATGGATCGGCAACACCACATCAATCGGTGTGAACCGATGGCGTCCCCCTACGTAATATAAAAGTGGGGTGAAAACGGGTGTGTATAAGGATATATAAGGATTGTCATCACAGGCCAGTTGAGTCAAGGTCTAGACCACTAGGAGCCTGTCCTCGTCACCTGACCTGGTCTGAGAGCCAAGCGTGCAAAGCCTTGCATGTCCTCGTAGACGACTTGGTAGGCCTGGTTCAACTGTGCAATGAGCAAGTTCCTCAGTGTTCGATCTTGTGATGCGGAACATGTCGTGGGAACCTACTCAAGTTCCGAACTATCTGCTGCCTGCTTCTGCCCAGGTTAACAGGTGGCCACTGCGTAGTACAAGCGTAGCTTCCATGTCATAGCCTTGCTTAGTAACATTGATCGCTTTGATTGATGTCAACGTTCATTGCCGTGAAACAGGCAGTTTCTCGAACACTGTGCAGGAGGACACGTTTGCAGCTTCTATCATCCAAAAAGAGAGGCACAAACTCCTCAACTCAGGGCGGTTCATGTCTTTTGCAAAAACGTTCGTGGGACCATGAAGCATACTTGGAGGGGAGGGAAGATGAGAACTGGCCATAAGCTACTAGTCACAAAGGGCATCGCTACGTTCGTAGCAAGAAGCTACGAACGTAGCTCCTGGCATTACTACTAGTAACAAGAAGCGACCAGTGGCACTGAATGTGTCGCACTCTGTCGCAGCTCTGGCAGCGAATTGTCGTCACCATTTCTGATCCACCTGTCTATATGGGGGGATGATGGGGGAAGGACTTGAGGACAAACACACATCACGCGTTTGAGTTGTTTAATTAAACTTTAAACAAATCCCAGACGCGACCCACGGGACTGGTATAGGACTGCCGATCAGGCCAGGGGTGCCAGGGGGTCAATTGATCGGCATGGCAGTCCCATGGGTCGTGTATGGGAATGGGTTGGATTATTCTGATGAAGCACTGGATGTGTAACCGGTTTGCTTCTAGGAGTTGACCGGTAAGCAACACGCAAGAACGAAGTTTGGTCTTGTTCGGTGTGGATGTCTGTCTCCTCTCCACCAAGCATCAAGAAGAAAATGGTGATGGCGATGGCAAAAATGCAAACGGCTGTGAGGACCCATGGCTCCTCCTGTGGATGTGGGGTGAAAGCTTTTTCACCACTCCCGGATCAAGTGACGAACTGTTTTGAAGTGTTCAAAAGGCCTGGGGCGAAGTGACGAAGTGGCGCCGAAGTGGCTGTTTTCCGACATCTCTGCGACGATTGCCCCCCGCCAAGTGAGGATGGTTGACTTTCAATGGACTAAAGGAAACATCTGCAAGAATGGTTTTGGGGGCCTATTGGGCCGAGGTCCTCCCTACTTCTAGAAGTGATACATATGGTTATGGAAGGTGGGCCCAACTTGTTGGTGTGTGCCTTTCAAGCACACCAACAACCAATTTGAACATCTGAGCTTGCGAGGTTGAGTTGAGAAAGTGTTGAACAGCCTCCAGTTGAATCCAAGATCCAAAGACTGCAATTAAACCAAAAGGGCTGAAGCCCATCTCATCCCAAAATATGACATTTTGCAAGACTTGGAATTGTACTATGAACAAAAGGATTCAGTTCGCCACTTCGAAGGATTGGGGCACGCTAATGCAGCCAGTGCGCTCGAATGTTGTAGTACCCAGAGGTTGGGTACATCTTGAGAGTCATCTGTAGTAAAGCAAACATGCCCCTGTCAATGCCTGGCCACGTCAAGACGCGACAGGTGCCAGGAATTCGCTTGCCCCGGCTATGCGATATCAATTGCAACCCTATGAAGCCTATGACTCTGAGTCGAGAGAAGAAACTAAAGCTGGTCATCTAACTAACTCTACTACTCTATTATACTTCTATTATATAACATTCTAAAACTATGTAAATCTATGTAAAACCAGCTGTCGAACTTGGTCGGTCGAGTCTGCCAACATCCTGGGCAGCTTCTCCGACATCACCGCGCATCGGTCTTCGCGCTTGGAGAGCACCGTGGACCACGGACCACCGTGGGTCCACGGTGTCCAGCGCTTTTTGCGGTTTGGGGAGGCTTCGGAGCTTCATGCAAGTTCGGGTGGGAAACGCCCCAGCAAGGTTCAAGGCATGGACCTTGGAGCATACACTAAATATCTCCACGCATGTAGATGGAAGAAATGGTTGAGGACATGGATCGGTCATGATTGGTCAAACAAAAGGAATATGTCAAAAAGAGACTTTGGAAACAGCACCACGTCATTGCGCCTTTGAAGTTCCCGGTCTCTGAGATCAGTCACAAATGACATCGCTTCATCAACCTCGATGCCTTACTTAGACCACAAACCAGCTGCTGGCAACCCAATGTCGCCGCATCCTCTGATCCTCTGGGTGTTCTCAGATCGCACCGGACCCGCATGGGCGGACACCTGAACCTACGTGGAGAAAAGCTTCATGGAGCGTGGTCTCGACCTGGTCTCGTCCCCGTTTCGATTCGGTCTCGTGTCGTCCAGACTTCCAACCTGTCGTCTTTCGGATGGGGTGAATGGGGTTGAAAACATCCGAGATTGCCAAGGGTCCACCCTCGGACCCAGCCCGCAGATTTGGGGATCCACACTGTCGAAATCTCCCAGCTGGTGGCTCAAGGACGCAATGGACGTTGCGAAGGCCAGGATGGCAAACACCAAGGCCATCCTCAGGACGCAACCGGCAAACACAACACCCCAGCACCGGTTTGCTACAGTAGCAAAGGAACATCACGCCATGCAAATCTGATCAGATTTAAGGCCTTTTCTGGGGAAGCTGTTTCTATCCCTTTGGAATGACGTCGGGTCTGATTCTGAACCAAAGGTCAAGCTGTTGGAAGGTCAGTTGCTACTCGCACATCTGGCCGATGCAGCTCAAAAGCAAAGAAAAGCAAAGTATTGAGGGCTCTGGTGACCACTGCCTTGCCTTGATAATTTGCTCCAAAGATGTCTGGATGTGTACATTCGACCATGGCAGCTCACCTGTATACGCACCACTTCCTGGTGGTGAAATTCCCGAATTTGGGATAGAACACAAGGAACATGATGCTAACCAATCTATGAAAATGCATGCAAAGTAGACATCATTGGCTTCAGAGCTAAACGGATTGTACGCTATACGCGCCACAGTGCCACACGCATATTTGCAAGATCTTGCAATTTTGCAAGTATTCTTTCCCTGCAAAATCCATCATTCATGGACTTTAGAGCCACCCCAATCACTAAATCTCCAAGCTCTTCATCTTACCACCCACACCACCTGTCCCACAGCCACACGTGCCCTGCGGGATCACCTCCAGATGTAACCGAACACCGAGCATCAAGAAGAGCCCAACCTCTTGAAGAACTCGACCGCAAACCATCACAAAGGATGAGATGCGCATAGACACAATGGTGAAATCCATTAACAAAGCCCAGTAGAGAAGGATCCCAAGGCCTCAAGTCGACGACGTCAACCAATCATGCATAAAATTGAAGGATTAGCATTCAGTGCGATAGTACCAAACTGAGAAAGGAGGAGCCAAACTCTGGACTGCCGCATGCAAACTCCTGCTGTTCCAGCCGCTGTAACAGCCGCTAAACAGTCCTGTGAACCAGCCAGTGCCCATGCACGAAGCGACGCATCAAAAAGGACCAGAAACCGGGCCTTCACCGTTTGAGCGTTTTCGATTTGATTAACGGTTTAAGGGCCCCAGGCTGAGGCGCTGCCAATGAACGCCAAATGTTCCCCCAGCCTGAGAAGAGGGAATAGATCTCCTTCTTACTCAACGAGGCTTCGCAAAGGGGGGTGAAGATTGACTGCCTCGGCGGCAGTAGAAGCTGAGGGGTCGGCCTGTGCCGGCATGGATTTCTTGCCGCCCTCTGCATATCTCTGCATGCATTATCTGAACAATATGTCTGAATCAAGTTGAATAAGCAAAGTGCGACAGTTCGGCGCACACGCCTCTCATGTCTCTCATGTTTTTTGCTGAGTAGTTTTTGTCGGGACTTTTCACACACTGATTGGGTCGAGGTCTGCACCTCTGTGACCAACAAAAACACACGGTTGGTTTTTGAGATCACGATTAACAGACTCAAACTCCGGAGCACGATCTGAGTAACAGACTCAAACTCCGGCGTGCCCAGGCAATAGAAGATAGGCTCTTGTGTGCACATCAAAATCCTCAGTGAAAAGACCCGTCTTCTTGAAGCGCTACACCGCATCCTTGTGTTCCCGTACAAGGACGAAACGCTACTACAATCAGTCCTCTTTAGGTGTTGTCTGTGTCAAGGGATGCAAAACATGTTCATCCCCACAAGCCCGTTGCTACCAAGCGGTGTTTCCGGTGATTCCATGGTTCTTTGGGCAAATCATGACAAAGCTATGTGTTGTTTGATCACCTTCAGCTGGTCTATCCTGTTTGGCAAAAACACAATTGAACAGTGGCACGTTCTTGGACCACTTTGCTTTGGTGAGAAAGAAGAGCTGGAAACTATGAAGCAAGCCAATGCGCCAGGCGTGCCACAGCATGAACCCCCAAACAACGAAAGCTTGCCTGAAGAACTTGGTTGAGCAATGCAATCGCTTCAAAAAAGAACCGCAACAGAATACCGAAACTGAAACTACGAGACCAATAAGGCCAAAAACACACATAGCTGATCTACTTGCAGGCAAGCAGCAGAATGATCAACAAGATCAAGTTGCCGAACTCTTGAAAACCTCAGAGTCACATGGTCGCACTGCCGAGCCTGTGACACGAGCCAATTTCATGTGTCTGTTTTTGCGTCAAAGCAAGGATGGTGTCTGCGAAATCATTTAAAGAAAATAACAAAGAATAGGGTGGTCTCGAGTCGACGCGTCGTTTCTCCAACGTCGCTTTTGTCGTGACGAGCCGTTTCTTCCATCAGAATCGGAGGCTTCTTCTTGCCAAGGGTCTGGTCAAATATGTCGGCACGGGAATCACCAGGAACCTGGCATACGCCGCGTATGCCGAGCTCACTCTGGAGCAAGGGACAAATGCGTCCCAAAAGTGGGTGCCCAAACTCCGCTTCTTGGAGCTGGCATACGCTTGCATGAATCAAAAGAATTCATGGCTTCACTAAGGCGAAGCCTGCAACGAAGCTCACAAGGTCCAGAAAGAGAGAGAGAGAGAGAGGGAACAAGGGACCATGAAAACCTCAAGGGACCTCACTTGCATCTAGAAGACCTCAAGCCGCTACACATAAACACTCGGAGCATTTTGATGTCACAGGTAACCCCTTCCAAACGCTCCATTTACTTTGGTTCAATGTCTGAGGATGTACTCAATCCCTTGTTAAAACTCCAAGCTCTCGACGCATGACTGCAACTTGCCCTAGCCTCCGGCCCGGAAAAACAATAACAATAATCTATACAGGAGAACACACCAAGACTAGTAAGGTGCCTTGCTTCTAGTAGCTTCTTGCTACTAGCATTAATGCCAGGAGCTACTAGTAGCTATTTGGGACTATTAGTAGTCAGGTGCCTTGCTACTACTAGCTATTGGCTACTAAGGTGCCTTGCTTCTAGTAGCTTCTTGTTACTAGCATCAATGCCAGGAGCTATTAGTAGCTATTTGCTACTAGTAAGGTGACTTGCTACTATTCGCTTCTTGATACTAGTAGTAATGCCAGGAGCTGCTGCTAGCTATTGGCTACTAGTAAGGTGCCTTGCTACTTGAGGCCAGAGGGGGTGAATGAAAGCTAGCCGGGCGGGGAGGCGTGCGCATGCTAGGGTGTGGCAAACAGCAGCAAACCACCAAGCAGCTGCAGCAAACCACCAAGCATCTGCAGTCTACCACCAAGCAGCTGCAGCAAACCACAAAGGAGCAGCAGCAGCAGAAGCAGCAGCAGCAGCAGCAGACCACCCAGCGCCAGCAGCAGCAGCAGCAGCAGCAGACCACCCAGTGCAGCAGCAGCAGCAGCAGCAGCAGCAGCAGACCACCAAGCGCAGCAGCATACCACCCAGCAGAAGCAGCAGCAGCAGCAGCAGCAGCAGCACCACCAGCACACCCAGCAGCAGCAGCAGACCACCCAGCAGCAGCAGCAGCAGCAGCAAACCACCAGGCAACAACAGACCACCAAGCAGCAGCAGACCAGCAAGCAACTGCAGCAGACCACCAAGCAGCAGAAGACCACCAAGCAACAGGAGACCACCCACCAGCAGCAGCAGCAGCAGCAGCAGCAAACCAAGATTTTGATGCTAGGCATGAGATACCTCCAAATCAGTTCAACACGAGTTCAAAATGTGGCCCTCGTTTTGCACCACTTTCGCGCCGAATTCTATTCTACATGGCCCAGCAGCTGCAGCAGAACACCAAACAGCTGCAGCAGAACACCAAGCAGCTGCAGCAGAACACCAAGCAGCTGCAGCAGACCACCCAGCAGCAGCAGCAGCAGCAGCAGCAGACCACCCAGCAGCAGCAGACCAGCAGGCGAGCACGTGAGGCCATACTGTTGGAAATGCTGGGCCAAAATTGGTGCGAATAAGGAGTTAAAATTAACACCTTTTTGGGTGCAATGTGCAGGCGGCATTTCTTGCACCATAGCCTTACCCCTCGTACACCACCGATGTGGAGTCAGGTAGCGTCACTTGGCTCTTGTGCACTCGGACTATCGGCACTCAAATCAAAGGTTGACAAAACTGCTTTAGAGCGCACGTGAAGTCCAAGTGCTCCCACAGCGCATAGCCGCAGGGAATGAACCGGGGTGGGAGGCGCAGCCAAGGCGGCAGCAGACCACCCAGCAGCAGAAGGAGCAAATCCAGCAGCAGCAGCAGCGGCGGCAGCAGCGGCAGACCACCCAGCAGGATCAGCAGCAACCCCAGGAGCAGCAGCAGCTGCGGCAGCGTCAGCAGCAAACACAACAGCAGCAGCAGCAGCAGCAGCAAACCGAGTAGCAGCCACAGCAGCGGCAGCAGCAGCAGCAGCCCACCCCGCAGCAGCAGCAGCAGGAGACGCAGCCAAGGCAGACCACCCATCATTTAACTTGCTAAAGCAAGAGCAACTTCAGCTAGCTAAGGCTAGCTTTCGTGACTAGTCGCTTCTTGATACTAGTAGTAAAGCCCGGAGCTACTTGTAGCTATTTGCTACTGCTAAGGTGCCTTGCTACTAGTCGCTTATTGATACTAGTAGTAATGCCAGGAGCTACTAGTAGCTATTTGCCACTAGTGGTAAGGTGCCTTGCTACTAGTCGCTTCTTGATACTAGTAGTAAAGCCCGGAGCTACTAGTAGCTATTTGCTACTAGTAATGTGCCTTGCTACTAGCCGCTTCTTGATACTAGTAGTAATGCCAGGAGCTACTAGTAGCTATTTGACACTAGTAGTCAGGTGCCTTGCTACTAGTAGCTACTTGCTCTAGTGAGGTGCCTTGCTTCTAGTAGCTTCTTGATACTAGTAGTGAAGCCAGGAGCTACTAGTAGCTATTTGCCACTAGTTGTAAGGTGCCTTT